AGCTCAACATGCTATTCGATATCTTCTTCTATCTTCTACTGATTTTACTCTTCAGGCATAGCTCGTATACATATAGGAGTATCAGTTTGTTATATTTAAATAGAGTCTAAGGTATCAGCCAGTTGGACAGCTCCACTATGTACTTTTACTTGTTGTAGTACGCTTGCATTTATTATAAAATAAACATTCCTGAATTATTGCACTTATTCAACTATTATGCAATCGGTTCTCTCTTCCTCTCTAGAAATCACTTTCACTTGCTTCAAAGTTCATCCGGACGAACGTTCATGTTGTTCAACTGGTTCTAAGATAGATTAGCTCGATCACGTGCCGCATAACATCTATAAGCCAGGTGATTCAGCAATATAACTGAGAAAAATTATATGCTACGCCTTGGCTGGATATCTCTTTATGTTGCTTCTGGTTACCTCCTGCAAAGCGTGGCGTAAGTGTCTTTAAGCTGAAGCTAAGCGATCTAGCTAATCATTCCCTTAGCTTGGCTATTCTTATTTGACTCCATAAAAGACATAATTAAAAGATATCCAAGAGGCATATCCAAAATAAGAATAAGGCCTACCGATTTGGTCGATATAATGAATACTAAGAACTGCTCGAACTGGTCTTCTACGGACAGACATCAAGCTGACTAATTATGTGAACTAGGACTTAGCTAGGACCACAACAAGTGGAAAGCTTCGGCATAAATCCGATAGCTAATCAGGTAACTATTTATGGACGCATGCCCTATAGTGCACAGAAGCTCTGAGAGAATGGTACAGCTTTGGATGGTTCACATGAATCTGAGCGATGAGTCGACATCGGAATTTCAAAATAGGTTTTTCACCTTGAAACTAAAGTCGTCCTGGAGTTTCAAAACAATAAGCGACACTTGAAATCTAAAGTAAGTCGGTAAAAATTAACATAAGTATTTTAACAAAAAAAGTATCTAAACTTTATTGGCAACACCAGCTGGATCCTGTGGATCGAAGATTTATTCAAACCACTTGTTCAGCGTTGGATTGAAATCTGGAATCAGTGGGGACCAATCATTCATGGGCATGATCAAAGATACCAAATACAATGGATCCGTGAAAGGGTTGAATCAGTCTTGCATATTAAGTCTAAGCTGGATGATGTTGTTTTAATTATAATATACCTAAGTACTAATAATGCATGACCAAAATGATCACAAACTGCGTACTTTAAGCTATTGTAAAAGAAATTTAGTCAACGCACAAAAAGAGAAGAAAATCTAGCTAGTTTATTTAAACATCTCAGATATCTCTTACCCACAAAAATCCCGAAAAGCTCATCAAATTAAACGATTCGTAGCCCCAGGCTCCGGACTCTGTTGCCTCATGCCAAATACGAAGGCATTTAGCGAAACGTTTATTTCATTATTACGCATAAGGGGGAAAAGATCCGCAGCACTCATTGCATTGGTAGTGGCCCTGCACAAAAGTCAAATTGAAAAAGTCAGAAATGTTCCGGACACACCAAACAAAAGCCTGAAGGGTGACTAAAGTGGCCCACCCACGGGGGTGGCATCGCGGCCAAAGTAAAAACCGTAACGGAAGTACTAGCAACAAAACAACCAGGAAGCCCACCACCGAGCACCCCGTCAGGCAACTCACTCAGTCCAAAAGAACAGAAAAATATAAATAAACCCTCACCAAAACATCAGGCTAACAAGTAACAGTTATCTACCTCGATTGCCCAACCTGAAGATACCCTATCAGCAGCTTCCATTGATTCTTTTATATATTAATAGTATAGATATGCCCTTAAAACTCCTTTATTCAATCATATTTTAATACAACAATATAATTGATATGAACTAATTATAATTACTGCAGCTAATATACACCCTACGTCAACTTACAGGGTATAAATGGGCTGACACTTGTGCTGGGCGTCAACCCCTCGGCGAGTCAACCTCAAATCACATGCATAAGGTTTTTAAGTTTTGTGCTTTGTCATATAAGTGCGCGGAGGACGATCTGCAGATACAGTTGTAAAGATATGGTAACAGCCGCGTAATGTGACAGCATTTCCCGTTATAGCAGAGAGACAGCAGAGAGCGAGCGAGAGAGAGAGACAGACAGATGAAGGGTACACATGTTTAGGCGTTGCCAGCGCCTGATTAAAATTTCTCAAGGGAGGGGGTTATGACGTATATCTCTCTCTGTGCCGGCTCCGCGAGGGTGGTCAGAGAGAAAGGCGGCTTAAACATGAAGAATAAAAAATGAATTTGCAAGAGATCATAAGTCGAGTGTTCTTATGGTTACAAGCTATATAAAAACATAAATATATAATTCGAATTCAATTTGTAATATATGTAACATACATATATATATATATCAATTTAGACATATACTGTTGGAAATGTTCTGATCAAGCCCGAACACAAGTTTATGTTTTCAATCTCGGTTCTTAGCCTGGGGGAAATATGCATGTAACATTAATTGTTTATATTTATATTTATAATATTATACATTATATTTAAAATAAATGTAATAAATATATAAAATACATTATTTAAATACATACTTATTTATTTATTTATTTGTTCTAATAAAAGTAAAGTTAGTCAAATATTTATCTGAGCACTGCACAATCTGACTCAATTAAATACATTTAAAATATTTTCAAATAATTTCATTTAAATAATCAATTTTTTTATACCATAATCTGCTTGCACCGCCCACTGTAGCTCACAGTTTGGCAGGCACCAGACCAATGCTGCTTACTTCCAGCCCCGAGTGACACCCGAAAGAGTGTTACGTGCCCAATTTGTGTATATGGCCCCATTTACACTCACATGCCCCGCCAATGTTTAGATATCACTTTTCGCAAATATCGACAACTATGGCAAATAGTTGCCCCAGTAATTGGTGCATTTATTTACCAATGGCAAACATACAGCTCGGCTGATGATAGTTCATTGGAAAAGCTCCAGCAGAAATTTAATTAAGGCGTCCAGGTGACAGTGCTGCAAGTTGCCAAGGCATATCATAAATCAAAGTGTGAGCAAGAGTGGGACAGAGAGAGAGAGAGAGAAAGACAGAGAGTGGAAGGTGGAGGGAGCAGCAAGCAACTGCTGCAAGTGTCGGCAACATGTGGCAGTCAAAAGAAAAAATTGAGCTAAAGAAATAAGCGCTGCGCAGCAATCGGACTGAAATGGCGACAAGTAACAGTGTTCTAGTCGGAAGTGCCCGACTAAGAGATATCCTGTAGAGCATGTGCAACGAAGTTATTGATAAAGAATATTTGAAAATATTTTAATTGAATCTATCGATCATATTTGATGGCTCACTTGTAAGCTTGATACCGATTTCAATCGATTGTTTGTTAAAACTTATCGATAATTTGGAACGAACTTCAATATGATCTGCAAGATGGAGTTTATGGTTTGCATATGCCTTAGATTATGTCGGCCACGCCTTCAGCCTCCCACATACACCTCAAGCAAAACAATATACCCTGAAGTACCAATGGTATTAGGGTATATACAAATGTCAAGAACTTCGCGACTTTTTCCGCAGTTTGACATGGTCAAGTTTAATTGAAAAAATAAATATATATATTTGTATATAAAAAAATATATATATAATATAATACGAGAAGAAAAAATCAACAATTCAAATGTTGAGCGCGACATTTGATGCTGCGCAGCTGCTCATAATTAGAATTGCTGGCAGTAAAAAAAAGAATAAAAAAATAAAAAGCAATATTAATTTATTCTTTTTGGCGTTGTTTTAATTGAAATTTCTTTTCGTTTTTACTCTCATTTTACTTCTCTTTTTAGCTGCTGCAGATAATTTTAATAACCCGCCCTGTCCAGAGGATGCGCCGGTAATTGCCGTGGAAAACCGGATGATAAGGCCGAGGCGAGCGAGAGCAAGTAGAGGAAGAAGCAGAATTAAGGTTACATTTTTGGGGGCAAAAGGGTTCACTTTTTGCCCATCTTTTTTATTAACAAATTTCACTTTATTCACGCCGCACGTTACGTTATTATAATTAATAATTGGGCGAAGGCAGTTAGAAATTTGTGTGGCGCAGGTTGCTGCACGCCAGTTGATTAAATTTGACACAGTTTGTGATGAAGGGGGCGTGGTCTGGTCTAGTCTTGTTGGGTTTGGTAAAAGGGTTCAAGTTGTGGCTGATTTTTGGTGACATTTACGAGTGTAATTTATACGTTCATAGTCGATAAGACAGCGATGCTGTTTTGGTTAAATGTGAATTACAGGTCTAAAAATAAGAATCGTCATTTAATTATACATATATGTAGTTGTAGATATATATGTATATTTCTTAGAATTTTTAAATGTTGACCAAAATCATAAACATTTTACTGGCATTATTTGATAAGAATTGAAATTTACAATTTTGAAAGTTTCAGCTCAGCTAGAAACTTTACCCATTGTCTCCACTATTCTAATTGTAAAATTAAAAAAATTGTAAATGTTATTAAGTCTAAGCTTTTTTAATTCAGTTTCAGCTTAAGTTTAATTTTAATTTGAAAATAAAAATCTTTTCTCTGAGCTGCTCCATTTCCTTAACAGAATTTTTAACATTTTAACATATTTTAACATCTTAACATATTTTCAATATGTTAACTTAACATAAAAAGTCACTGGTTGGCAACGCTAGCAAAGACACAAACCAAACAAACAAACACCGAAACCATTTTCATTTCGAGAGTTGCTGGTTGTGAAAAAAATATAAAATCGATGTTTTTTATGAAATCATTTTAGAGCCAAATAGAATAAATAAAACTATGACTTTTCAAACGAAATGTGTTAATACCTAACACAAATATTTATAAAATAAAAGATAGTTCAAGCAACTTTTTTATAAGATGGAAAAAATAGATATTAAAATGTATAGCTTATGGATCAGGACACTATAAGCTAATATTTAAGATCTTTATTATTCATATCATATCATATTTACTTACACAATAACTATTGTATTTAATTAGTTAAAACTGCTACTACGATTTGCACAACAAATAATTGCCAGCGAGGTTAATGAACAATTGTGCAAGCAGTTGCAATAGACAACTGCAACACAGTTTAAAGTACTTCGCAGTTCTACTATTTTCTAATTTTGCTTATTTTTACGCACTTTGCTTATTCTCGTATTTAAGCATAATATCACGAGCCAATTTCATTTCATCGAGCAGAGCGCCCAACTGTGCACACTCAATATTAACTATATGCGTGGTATCCTTAGGTAATCCATCGACCAATTCCTGCGAGATTTTAAGTTCCAATGTCGCACAGTTTGGAGGTGTTTCGCCAGGTGAGGTAACGTTTCGTATGCTTTGCAACTCATTAACTGAAAGGGAAGACAAGTATGAATAGGCTGAGATACATTCGATTATCGATCATAATTATCAAAAATGATATATCAGAGTTTTGTTATAATGAACAGATAGGAAAATACCTACTTCTAAATGCCTTATCTATAAGTTGTTGCCGTATAGCCATCGCATTTGCTTGCAGCACTCGACACATAGCCATAGCATGATCCTTGGGTAGGCCCAGCTGCTGTATTTCCTCATTGAAGATTGCCTCTGTGCAGCTATAGCGCGCCGCATTTGTGAGCATGTAGTGCACGCATGCCACAGCTGTTTTGCCATCATTTGTGGCAGTCGATGTCAAAGATCTGATAGTCGTTTCCTTTAAAAGATTGTTTAGTAGAATTCGAGTTATTTCGATTATATAGGTATTGCTTAACTACTCACTTCAAAGGCTTCACCGATAATGCGCTTGGCCACCAGCTGTGCCAGTTGCTCCACATTTTCGACACTCAGATTCGAGAGTGTAGAAATGATTTCGGCCAAAACCCAATCAGGACAATCGCCATCGCCACAAAAGCGAAATTTCTGCATGCAATATGAAATTATTATATAAAATATAGCTATATTTGAGGAGCTTATAAAAAAGACTAAGCACAGCCCTCACAACTAGCTACTTGTTTGCCTTTCTTTCACGCCTACGCTACATTCGTCATGTGTCAAGTAAATTAAAGAGCAAGCAACAAGTAAGAAGTCGGAAGTGCGAGTGCGAGTACGAGCGCAAGGAGAGTGTAAAAAGAAATGCGTAAAGTGTAGCGCACACTCGTATTTGCATATGATTAATTTCATACGCTTGCCTGCTAATCAGCGAGCAATTTGTACAACTGCCTGACAAGGCTGCTGACAAAAGGGGTGCACAATTTGCAGCAGGAATACAGGGTAGTGGCTAGAGGGTAGACGGTAGAGGGTATGCGCTACTGGCTGCCCACAAGCTAATGAGCAGCTTGTGACATATAAAGGCAACTGGCGAGTGGCGCCTCGGCTTCAAGTGAGTGTCACGTTTATCTATGGGCAGAATTAATAAATTTTCAACGTGGGAGAGCTAAATAAAAAAAACAAATGAGCAGCCGTTAGCAGCTTAAGAGTACGGCGTAAATTTATGACACTTGTTGCTGAACGAAGTGCGCCCCCTCCAAGCCATCTGCTTATTAGGGCTCGCTCTTTAGCCGTGTGTAACGGTTTAGAAATGTAAACGAGAAACGTTTTATAATTATTTTATGGACTTCAAAGTTCGCAGTCGTCTGTCTGAGAGTGGGGCAGGACTAGCTCGCTGCTGCTGCTACTGGCTGCTTGGCTGGTTGGCTGACTGGTATATAAAGCCATTGAAAGTGGCCATTGAGTGCACAGTTGCTTATCTTGCCAATCTGCGAACACACACGCGCTTCGTTTGCAGACGGATTAACCATCACAAACATCGAATCCAAGCATGTTGTCCACCTGGCGCCTACTGCTCTTGCTCCTTGGCATTTGCAGCCAGCTCTATGCTCTGCCCACGCACACGGCAACGGATCTGGAGCTGAACACCTGTGAGCTGCAGCTTGGCAAGTATCGTCGCTTCATACTGCAGGCCATACTCAGCTTCGAGGATGTGTGCGATGCTTACAATTCACGGCGCATCGCTCCAGATGATAGGCCCAGCACTTCCGACACCTGGCTATTCGATCAATATGCGCCACCACCAACATCACAGCGTGGCGAGATTTGGGCGTTCTTCAAGCTGCTGATGGCACAGTTCAATGATTTAGAGTTCGCCTCCATTATAAGAGATTCGGTCATCGAACGCTGTCGCCTCAAAGTTCAGCGGGATGACAAACGCAATTCGGTTGTCCTCGGCAAGAAGCAGCGCTTCCATTCCTGGGGAGGCAAGCGTTCACCGGACCAAGCATCGACGCTTACATTGTCCGATGCAGTGTCTGCCGTAGCCGGCGCAGGCATGGAACACAATTTCTATTAATCTCAGAGATTTCAAGTAATCAGCTCTTGTTCGCCCATCTAAAACTTCGTTCCAGATATGTATGAAATGTCAATCTACCAATTAATTACTGCACTAGCTCTAAATATTTAACAACAATAAAAATAAAAAACGCTGAGAGAGGTTACTCACCATCCTTGTGTAATTGTTTTAACTAATTTTAAAATGTTTAAGACTTATGTTTATTCTTATGAGAAACTATACACACTTATCGACTACCGCCTCAAATTATCGATTAGCCGATTTGCAACTCATTTGCCGGCAACATTGATAGCAAGCTTGATTCTTTACGATATATCGATATTAAGTTTGGCGCTTTGCTTAAAATCTTCAAATAGCCGGCAAAAAAGTCTATTGAAAATTGTAACTGTTGGCACATATTGTAAGCTTTTAAGAACTAAATTAAAAATAATTACATTGTCTTGCTTAAATAGAGTTCAATTTATTTATATGTTTTTATCACGTTCAATTTTGTTGAAATATTTATATACTGGTTATGCTACTCGACGGCATTCCATTGTAATCTTTCAATATAATCTTAAATAACACTCGCAAACACGCCCTTTTCAGATTAATTTTCGTCTCAAAATATTCGTTCCAAAAATAAATGCAATTATTTTTATTTAGTTTACTATGCACTATGATTGCGATAAGGATGGCTCCAAATGCTGATAGACAGAGTCCAAAACGGATTGAAGGTGCTTTGGTCGTCGACACAACACAACAACCCATAAACCTTGTCTATTAATACCCACATACTATGAACATACTCAGAGAGGAGGCAACAGATGAGATGAAATGCAACTGTCACTCACGTTGCATGTGCGTTAAATTATCTCGCGTGGGTTCTGAGGTTTAGCTCACAAGCCTTTGGCTCTGGGAACACGCTGAAAACAAATGTTAACTAATCGCGCTTGGGCCATGCCACAAATCTGAATTTCAAAAATCATTAAACCAACTGATAATCGAAAAAAAAATACAGCTACAACTAAATAAGTTACAACGTATACGTTTTTCTTTCCCTTTTTCTATTTTTTCTGCTGATTTAATTAGACTGCGCAAATGTCAAGATGCGAGATGTGAGACGCCAACCTGTGTAGCTGTTGTGAGAGATTGGGGATTTTCTTGGACATAAAATGCTGATTATAGGTGAATTATTATGATTAGGTGGGCGGATTTTCAATAACAACTCCTTATCGATCTATTAAACTGTTTACCTGGCTAACTGATTGAGTGAATGATTGGTTCAATAGGAAGACTAAATATGATATGTTACTATAATTTTCAACTGAGGCAATTCCTGGTCCTTCCTAAATGCAATTAATATAAATTCAGTTCGATGGTGTATAAAACTAAAAACATCGGAAACATGTATACTAGAAGTGAGATATATTATAGAGTTTGGTTAAGAGTTGCTTTATAAAAATAGCACTTGAACCCATGAACTCGGCTTGTTCGAGCCTTTGAAATGTGGCAATCTAATTGCGGAACTAAGTTGCAATCAAATCAAATCTAATCAGGTCGATTGCATTCTCGCAACAGCTTTCCAGTTTTCCTGCATAACATGTTCCTATGTTCCCCCATGAGCCCGTAATCCCGTAATTAAATCAAGACCCGGGCATGGGCTATCTGCCACTCATTAGGCAAATATATATGCAGGCAAGACCTGAGCGGTTTTTTTTTCTTAATTTTTTAATACGCCATTAATCAAAGCAACCAAAAAAAATGCTTATCAATTTTTACAAAATAAACTAAAACAAATTTAAAATAAAATTGTGTGTGGGGTCCACTTGACCGAAGGTATGAATACTAAAACGATTTAAATAACTGAAATTTATAAATTATTTTATAACCTTCTTTTTTTACATTTTGAACAGGACATTTTTATGGCTTCATCTGCAATTTAAAAAAACCTATTTGAAATGTACCAAATCTTATAAACAATTTCTTGTCTTTTTAATTAGAAATTTATTAATAAATTAATGTCTTATGTGTTTCTTGATGATGTGTTTCTAAAAGCGCATTATGTTGCATCTACATATTCACATATTCAAAAAAAAAGTATTAAGACCAAATGACAAAGGAAATAGAAAACAATGAAAAAATACCGACAAAGATTTCGAATGTGAAAAGAAAACTGAAAATGATACATAAATAAGAGTTAAATTGTCAGAGACCATCTTTGATTGGGTAGGGTGAGTGTCCCTAATATAATAAAAAACAAGTTAGGTTGACCAACTCGAAGGTTAGGTTGACGAAACTAGCATATACCCTATACAGATAGGTGAGCTATATGAGATAGAATCGTTATATATAACATTTATTTAAGCATTATATAAAATGCAATGCAAAAAAATTTTTTATAGAAATATAATTTCGAAATCTGAACGGCTGCAGCTACTTTTCTATATATAATTTTTTAATCTTGCATTTTGATATGCTTATCGCTCCTCTTTGCATCTTTGAATCCCGCGAGTTTGGCCATCACATCAAATTTAAAAACTAGGGCAACATGCACATAAAGCTGATAACAAAATTTCAGAGTAGCTGATTAAAAATAGTCAAAAAAAAAAGAAAATAAATAAGTGTGCTTGGTCCAAGAAAACCCGACTAAGATATACCCTACAACACTTCAGATGCTGTAGCACTTCCAAGTCTATTCCCTATGCGAAGAAATATATATTTATCAGTTTGATTATACATAATTGAAATAATTATCAATAAGAATAATACATATTAAAAAATTATATTATCTAATTATTATTTTTAATCTTAATATTTTTCTTAATATTTGTTGTTTATTTCTTAATGTCGACAGGGTATGTTTATATATAATTATATATAATTGTATAAAACGCCACTCGGGTTCGTCAACAGCAAGAAATCACGTTTAAATTTAGTCATTGAACTTAACATTGGAAGAAGAAGAAGGCGAATGGCCAATCATAAAACATATATACTATATAGCGAATCTAGTCGCGCGACTGGCTAGCAACAACAATTATTTATACATAAAATAAAAATTAAAAATATAAATAACCCAAAAGACCCCACATAAAATTTCTCTGATAAGACAAGCATATATACTTGATAAGCTAACGATTAGATATAATATTTAAGCAATGGAAAACTTTTCACAAATTATCTTTGATTCCAATAACATCGATTTTAACATTAATCTTTTGATCAAATCAGTCAGACTGAAACCCGCTATTGACTCCTCTAATATAGGGACACAGACTTTGCCTTTTCTCATGAAATCAATCCGCATTAATGATCTATTTATATATACACCATATGTTTACACTTACAATCACGCCTTAGGAGAATGTATTACACCTGAAACTATTCCTGGACTGAACTATGCCATTGCTGTCAATCACAGACTTGAAGTCTGTTCGATTGACGTCACAAGGGAAAATCTTACAGCATTTCACTATAATTTGTAACAGTTGGCCGATAAGAGCTCTAACCCTTAACTTATTGCAGTCGAATGGAGCTGTATATCAAAGGAATATTTTCTTAGCTTATTGCAGTCGAATGGAGCTGTATATCAAAGGAATATTTTCTTAGCTGTTTACAGGTCTACCATTGTCTTGAGTGAGTGACTGATCAAAGTTTAAGAATTACAAAGATAAACATATCTCGAATTTCCATATGAAATGTGTGTTATCCTGACTAGCAGCATTAAAATGAAGTAAATGAAACATGATAACTTTATCTTTAACATGATAACTTTCTCTTTTGCCTAAATTAACTGTTTTGGGACATAAAAACGTTTATATATAGCCAGACGGACTTGACGTATGACTGCAATAAACTAATCGTCTAATAAAAAGTTTCCTATACACAAATAAACATTTATTGCTTAAGATTCTATTTAAAAATTTTTGTTGAGTTATTATTATTATTATCAGTAATTGGTAATCCAAAAAGGCAACCGAAAATGCAAGCCAATCCATTGGACAGCTGTCTGGAAAGGGATAATATTATAAATGTTTCTTTTGAAGATCGTAACTTATTGCGTTTTCGTCTTAATTATATTTGATGATAATGAAAATGCGCTAAAGAGAAGGCAATTTGCATTCGTATAGGTAGTTATTTATAAACGCTTTTATAAAGGCGCCAATATAATGTTAATCAGCTTTATGGGCCCTGATAAGCCAAAAGGTGACCAAGTTGAATCGAATGGGTGCTAAAAAAGCCAGCTTTAAGCGTGAGCAGTAAGTGTGTATCAAATGGAGGAGAATCACAAAGTATAGACTCTAAGTGTGTGACGATATTTCATAGGAAATCAAAAACTGATGATATTTATTACTTATATCTTTGAATAACAGACTGTCAAAAGAAAACAAATAAAAATAATAGTTCAGTTAGTCATAAGCGACTGTATAATAGGCGTTCACTACTCAAACCCAGTTTCATTAATGCATATATCAATTAGTTACTTAAATATCTGTGTGCAGAGGTGATTAATTGTAATCGAACTGCATGTCTGTGGTGATTCTAAAATTAACATAGATTTTTATACTATTCATACAGTATATATACATATTTCAATCTAACACTCCAAATTGATCTATTGATCTACATATAGACGCTTCAAGCTGTGACTTTTTTGATCGTAGCTCTTGAATAACGTTAAACGATTTTGTTTAAGCCAACTCTAAGCAGTTTTCCGATTTCAATTTGATTAAAATATATAATATATATTATTTCAATAACTTCAAAATTTTAAAAAGGAACTTATGTTTATAAGACTTATAAAGCGATCGATATAGCTAGATGTAATAATATTTAGGGACGCTCACTTCAATGTGGTTAAGGACAGCCAATTCATAATTTAGTAAAGCTGCAATTCCCGCCAGCCGCTTTTTGACATCTTATAGCATATTCACAAAAGCTTAGCAGTTTGTAAACCTAATTTAGACACGCCCAGGGCTAAACTGTCCTTTCTGTTCTCACGCACTACAAAGCCAATATACTCTTTGCAGCTCATGAGCGAGCATAACGAACCCTCAAACAAAGTCCCGCTGCCAGCATTCAAATAAACAATTAAGTTTGCCAATCATGCAAATACGCGAAATAAACAAACTAAATGCAAGCTCCTATTGAGACCATCTACTAATAGAGTTCATTGAACTCGGCAAATTGCCACTATATGATATTTAATGCTTAGATATAGCACGTATGCGACTTAAGGTTAATGCATTATTCAATTCATATTAATATTTGCGAGTTGAGTATATCAAATGCTAAATATGTACAGGTCTATGTGTGTGTCTGAGGGTGTGTGTGTGTGTGCAAGTGTAAACTTATTTACCTGCCCGACACTATTTGTAAATTGTTTATATGAATGACTCATTGGATAGTCTAGTCTACGCGCTTCTAGCATTCACCAGCTCTCAGATACATTTGTATCTTTGTATCTGTGCAGTGCATTGCACTGATTTAGCATTGAATGCAATGCTCAAACATGTTTTTATTTATTTTTTTTTTTTTCATTTTTTGCCTCATTCGCTTTTATGTTAATGTCCCATTAAACCGGAACCGGAATGAATGCTTACGTTTTATTTTATATATAGTCAAAACTATCTTTCCCGATCGAAGTTTGGGCTGCTTTTTAAGAAAGCCGGAAGTGATGATAGATTATTTTTAATTTATTTTTTAAATAAATGTAATTTAAGTATAATAAAATATAAACTAGGAATGGATAAGCGTTAGAATTTTTATTTCGATTACTTTCTCCAAATAAATGGAGCAAGTCTGGAATACAGATAGAGGGAAGAAAGGTGTAGGTTGAAGAAAAAAATTATATAACAATTAATATTAATATGCGAATATCGGTAAACCTGTTTAATACTTGAACTTAGTATGTATTTAATCTGAGCAAACAAAACTTAAAAACTCAATTTGCGACTCGCCACTGTCAATAGCTAAGCAAACAAATTTCAGACACATAGGCAAACAGATGTGGCTAGTCTCGTCTGGTTTGTTTCCGACTATAATTAGAACCTCATACCGAAAAAACCACATGCATATATGTGATATAGTCCACATCATTCCAATAGTTTGTCTATTGATAAGGCGACGAACTGAACATGACTCGCAGAAGAGTTTGTTTTTTAGGTCTCGGCTGTTACATAGATCTGTGTGGAGTTGGCTCACTTATCAGCAGACAATGGGCTGCCATATCATAATTACGGGCAGACGTCGCGTCGCGTTGCGTCGCTGCGATGTCAATGAAACAGATTTTTCAGATTTTCAAACTACTTACTCTGGTGTTTACTTAGGCGTTACTCTACTCCACTCGATCGAGGGTGTCAATCGAGCACAAGTGAAAAACGTGATCAGCTCGTGTTCGCGGCTTCGACCAAACCACAAACAAGGCCCGCATCTTTAAATAGATGTAGACTGGCGATGCTCAATTATATATATATATATATATATAAACAGGCATATGGACGTATATATTTGCATAATAAATCGCATAATTAAGTTTCGAGCGAGAGCTACAATGGAAAATTACGCGGCAATATTACGCGATGCAAAACAGAAAAAAAACTAGGAAAAATAACACACATTTTAATCGATCACCGATTATATTTTCTAAGCGCCTATTCCATTGACCCTCACACCAACGATAACCGTTTTTGAAATGATTAAAAACGTTATGTGTATAATTTTTGTGAAATGCAGCCGTAACTAATTCCTTTCTGTTTTCAGTTCATTTTCGCTCTATGCAAGAGAGACCGAGAGATCTGAGATCTGTGATATGTTGCCAAATAAGTGATCACGCCGCGATCAGGTGCTCTAGGTCAGTTACGGCGTGATTCTCATCAGCCAAAAATAAATGCAGCTATATTTATGAATTTTGTGTTTAGTTTATGCTGCGCAGTTTATCAGCATCTCAACCCCTGATTCCTCTGCCTACATTGATAAGCGCTGATAAGTCAAGTCACACGCCTCGCTTCTAAATTTAAACTTTCGGCCGGCCGTAGAGTATACGTTGCAGTTTTACACACTTCAAGCCGAACAAGCTCTAGGTACGCCCATTTTTTTATAGACATCGTAATCGCTGATAATCTTTTCACTAATGGCGCCGCTGATGTTGCTGATATTGACAGCTCGGTTGATTTCATCAGCATATTGTTGGGCCGGGCCGCTCGGGTCTAGACCCTTTGCCAGACAACTTGGACATTATTTTTTAATATATTTCAGTCCAGGGCAAATCGTGCTTTTTGTTTTGATTCCAGAGAAGAAATGTGTGTTAACAACGGTTAATGGTTGCCTTTCACGCAGTCAGCGAATGTTACCTGGCTTGAAATATTATCATATATCAATACCAAAGTACATTAGAATTCTGCGAATAATATTATGTACGATACAGATACATAGCGCAATGTGCAACTGTTTCAAAATTAATTACCATTCAATCTATATTCCATCTATAAACTTTAATGATCAGACTATGATAGTCTTTGATTGACAAATTACCCTCTAAAATGGTGATCGGAATAACTTTCCTCTTCCTTGTCTCCTGTTAGAAAGCTCTGATAATAACAGTATTTAAACAAGTTTTAAGCTAATATCATGTGTACTATGGCATATCAAGTGTATCTGTGTCCCACACGCAGGCCAAAAATGGAAAGTCGTCTATTAAATAATGCATCACATCCGCTGCGCGGCTAAGAGTCTTTTCGCATACATGTATGAAAAATATAACAGAAATAGACAGCCAGCTGCTATATCATATATGTATGAGATTTGCAGAGCTTCAAGTGTACTCCATAACCGAGGCAGCCGTAGACTGCCACATGGCCAACGCTTCAAAGGGCACTGCACCACAAGACAGAGTGAAAGAGAGAGAGAGAGATAAAGGGAGATGGAGAACTGCCTGCATATGGGAATGGTATATAGGCGAATGCTGATGAAGTGGCCGGCAAAAACGCAACATGCGACTCCAGAAACGATGCGTCGTTAAACCGGCTCTCCGTCAAGGCGATCGGCTGGTGGTCAGGAAGGAGAAGAGACTAGGTGAACAAGTGCCAGACAGCTAGCTAGCTTGCTAGATAGCCAGCTAGCCGGCCGGCTTGTGCACTCTGAAACCTGACTGCTGATGCTGTGGGGCTCGAAAGCAAATAAGTTACTTGGACTTGGAGCGGCGTGTGTGACACCTCACGAAAGTGGCACAGTGGTAACAGATCAATCGAAACACTTGAACAAACAACTTGTTAAGGCCCTCACACAAAAACTGCATTATCATTAGAGACTTGAAAGATCACGCATTGTGAGAGCATTTTCGTCGACTACCTAGGCACGACTAAGACCTAGGCCGCCATTTCTGAATGTCAACGAGTCACGCACGCCATACACCAAATTCACACACACGCACACACAACCAAGCACACACACATTCAGCCACTTTCTATGCACTGCAACATGAAATAGACTCAGTCCCCGACGATGCGTGGCAGAGAACGTCGAAAATTTCACAGAGTTGTCGTCGTCATCTATGCAACGAATGATGTGGGTACTACAACTGACTAAATGAAACGCTCCTAAGTCACTTGATATGGGATTTTAATGGGATTTAATGATTCAACAGTTGGCTCTAGTGAACAAAAAGAAAAAGTGCTTGTGACTTAAGCGCATTATATTTAATTTAATGTAGAATTTTACTTTTCAATATTCTACAATAATATTTTAAATTTAACAACACAAAGTCCTATTCAGTTATAGTCTGATTTTTGGCAGTGCTATAACATTTATTCACTGTCCTATTTAGTAATTTAAATTGTAGCCTTGTTGCATCTTAAGCACTCAACAGTTGTGTCATGCACGTAGCACAATCAATATGCCGTCTGCATTTAAACGTAGCGCATGAGAAAGTCGATGAAAAGGCGAGATTACATAGCGACAACTTTTACACAATTCCCCCCCAAAAAGCATAATTGATTTAGAGCTGTCGACTCAACAGAGACAACGTAAAACAAACATAAATTGCATAAAGAAAAGCGTAGGCTGTAAAGGTGTTCGGGTTACACGATTGCAGCCAGCCTAATATAATCTCCCAGACCTTACAAAGGAAATCCACTCGAACCATTGAAACGCCAGCAAGTAGTTGTGGACACTCAAGCGATTGAGTGGGTACTCGTTCGGTGAGTTTTCGTTTTGTTTTTTTTTTTTTTGTTTATTTATCGGCCTGGGAAAGGATGAAAGAGTAAGGGAATGAAATGGATTGAAAAAAAGGCAAAACAGCTGGCTAAAATCACAGACGTAGGCACTGTTGATCATATGGAAAGTTGTTTGACATAACCACTAAATGTGTAAAGATGTGTGTGAATACGTTGTACGAGTATTCGCATTTATTAATAAAACAAAAATTTCGAAAACGAGCGCACGAGCTAATGATCGTTGTTGCTCGCTGATCATGTCCATTCAGCCTGACAGATTGAGTGAGTGACTTTGCCTCTGTGGCTGCGCCTAAGCCTAACGAAAATTGTTGTCAATCCAAACGAACGAAGCTAAACTAAACTAAACTGAACGCCAGCAACAACAGTAATAACAAAAAACAGCAGCAACTATTGCTGCACTATCATTAAAATGCAGCCACACGCTCACAGCGAGAATAACGGACAATGCGAGAGAGGGCCACAGAGCAGAGGAAGACGCTGAAGCAGAAACAGAGAGTTAATGAGCTAGAGAGCGGTAGAGAGCGAGTGCCTTCCAGAGCATACGATAGCAACGCTCTCTGGGATCGTAGTGGTTGGTTGGGTCGGCACAACCACCAGTCTTGGCGGCGGGTGCTCTAACAACATCAGTTATTCGTCTCTGAGTTGTCGAGGCGAACGGTACTCACAGTCGGAGTGCAACTGGCAACAACAAAACGCGATGCGGTCCTAATTGCTCGTGTCGTTGAAAGCACAAATAAATTACTAAAAATAACATAACATAACATATATAACTTAAGAAGAAAAACGCGCGAATTCTTACTTCAAAAAGAATAGGGGAAATAATTCAATAATTTTAAATTATTGCTAATCCGTTTTGTCGTTTTGTTTTGTGCGGTGCTGCCAAAATTGTGTGTGCCTGTGTGTTTAAAATTTTCAATTTTTAACAAAAATAAGAAATTTCAATTTTTACACAACCCAAAAATTTCATTGTCTGACGCGCGTTGCCAAACCCCATGAACAGCGCGCGTGATGCACATATGAAAAGAAATCTCTAAGAAGAAGTTGGGCCAAAAAAGAAAAGTGATATCAGAAAAAGTTCCTTAATACACAGAGATCGATATATATATAAACGGAGAAAAAGAGCTGACGCGGAGAGCGCCAGCAAAAGAGAGCAAGAGAGGGAAGGAACGAGAGCGCAACACACAACAAAGTCATAAAACAAGCAACGGTTAGTTTTCGGAGTAATATCAATATTGATCAGCTCACATAAACATAAACAGAATGTATACACAAATATTGTTTAGAAATAATATTTTCCATTGCAATCCTAATTAGAATAGCTTTATGTAAACATTCGCAGTCAAGCATTTTGTTTATAGCTAATTCCAATTAACATTTTACGCTTCGTCTAAGACTCACAACAATTTCGCTTACCTTATCAATTTCTGTTCTAATTTTACAGGCCGTGCTGCTAATTACAATCAATCAGAGTTCCTTGTTAGAGATCTATAGAGAGAGCCATCTATAAAATGATTTCCCACAGTCCACCCATATTCAGTCACAGTCCACCCGTTAGTTTCCTAACGGACTATATGAGCGGACATCAGCGTCAAACACTAAAGTAAGTTTCACACAAAAGACACATATTTTGGGGCTCTAAAATAAATTGGGTCGGCTAATTGAATTCAATTGAATACACGAGATTCGGCAACGAATCAAAATTCAATTGTTTTTAATTATATTTTATTTAATTTTTTTATTTTATTTTATTTATTTATTTATTTTTTTTTTTTGAGAATAAATAGTATAGCAACACCTTAAATTAATTCCCGTTTTATTTAAAAGCCACAAGTGAATACTTTCTCCAACTTCGAGTTAACCTCACGTCTTAAATATATCAATTCTGGAATTTTTCTTATGATTAGATAGTGAAAAGTATTTTCTGATATAGTGCAAGACTTGTCTACGTGTCTTGGTGCTATACTGATTAAGTAAATCTCTGATAAATTGTGTATTACAAAATAAAAACTCATTTCCTTTCAAGACTAAAATATTTATTAAATTACATAACGAACATTAATCAATAATGAACTGGAAAAAGTGCGATTTTATTTATGACATCAATAAGACCTACAATAAAAAAAAGTAATACCAAACTGAAAAACAATAAGATAACAGAAAAATGCAAGAAAATGGTGTATAAAATATATTATATTTATATTTTTAATCTTCGATTAAAAATAGGCTACGGATTCTACGTATCAGCTTTGACAGACTCAATGAAGCCGTTACAAAATACCTTCGTTCCAAAAATACAATATAAACAATGGAAGCGATTGCATTATATATTTAGTGTAAATGACGATGTTTACCTTTCAGTCTCTGTCTGATTATTTATATGGATAAATATTGATATATCATTTATACAATACATAGAAGTATCACTGAGGTCGGATCAGCGACACACAACAGCTTTTTTATGTCATCAGATATTGCAACAGAGCTAGGCGGGTAACGTGTTAAACAAGTTAACGGGGTTATACATATAGATAGATACAGACTCAGTACATATGTCCCGAAAACTACAAAAATATTTTCAGCTTTGCGCTGGTTGACAACAGCATTCAATATCAAGGCAATGGCATAATCAAAACAAACTTTTATTTTTCGCCCAGATTTCGAGAGCAAAAGTTGACAGTGAGAATTTCGCTTGAAAAAGAAAAAATTAAGAGAATTATGAAAGAAATTTGGGTGTTCACGTCTGTTGGAGGGGTCTGTTGAAGCAATTGCTTCGAATCATGCTCGATCGTCGACTAGAAGCTTTATTTGCTGCGCCACATTTATGGCATCAATCAGCTGACATTTTTTAGTAGCTATAAAAATATATATCAGAAAATATGAATAATAAAAATTCTAAAATTATCCGAAAAACATATAGTTAACAATATAAATAGAAACTGGCCTGATAAGACCTACGCAGTTACTGAAAATAAAAATTTGAATATCTCAGTTCAACTAAAAGATGTGATAAATATCAATACAAATGATTTATGAACTCTGAATTCATTAAAGAACAGAATTGTTATTATTACTATAATTGGTGTAACTAATATTATTAATATTATTATACAAGAACTCTTTTCGGCTGTCATTAATTGGCACTAAAATGAAATTGATTATCATCTGTTCAGGAATAACACGGATGATAACCAACTTTAATTGGCAATCAGCCAATTTAAATTTGGTTTCATAAATGATGGAAAAACAGAAAAAGTCGCTTATCAGGCATTGACTTTATAGTTTGCCTATGTCTAGTCAAAATACAATTTCTGATATGAATCAGCAAAAAAAAACGGAATAATTGCAAACAGTTGGATTCTATCCCATGGTACTTCCAAAATTAGAACTCTATGATGAATCATGACAGCGAGAGACTAAAACAAATTTGAGTAGACACAAGCATATGTAAATATGTATATACGTATTTGTATATATATAAGTATATATTTATATATACAGAAACCTATCCACGGGGTACTATTCAAATCAAGTGTAGAGGTCGTGCGTAATATATTCCACAACTTTTGCGCTTATCAATAGTAAAAGAAAAAGCCAAAGCCGAAGCCTGGCGCTATTTCTTTATAGATAGTGTAGTATATAGGTATGTTTATGTGCATACTTTGGCATCTGAACAATGCCATGCTATTATCTCATTGAAATAAAAGACGGAGCCAGAATAAAGACAACCTTATCAAGCTGATAAAAAGAAAGTAAACGTGAGAGCCGCGTGGCCATTAGCTCGTACGATTGCTGCTATAAGGCGCAGATTATTTAAGAACCCATACAAAAGTATATACATATGCAGATACTCATGTAAAAATTCGTGATTTTTGCTCTGCTTGCAGCTACAATGACGAGCCCAATAGCATAAGCTCGCGCTATTGCCGCCCTCAAGCCGTAACTCTGGCATCCAAAGCTATGGTCAACAACGCATCCAATGCTGCCCAGGGCCAGCAGCTGCCCACCAAGACAGGTGGCACGCCCCTCGGCGTGGGCAGTCGCTCTGGCCGAAGTTATTTGGAGCGCATGGTCTCTGCCCCATCGCTCAACACACAGCCCAAATCGTGTCTCAGCCGCAAATCCTGCCTGCACAAAGCCAATCAAATCTGCAGCATCCCAATCACAGATTCTGCATCCACGGTGACTGAAGAGCCTACAGAAGCAAGCAGCGATTTAGATGGATTTGCCAACTGCAAGCAAAGGTAAGCTGAATATATATAGATTGCATAATGCCCAGGTAATCCGACTCTCAGTCCATTTGACGTCACATCCTAATGGCGCCGTCTACTTTTGACGCCCTCAGCCACAAGTTGAACTAGATTGCGGTTGGCAGCATGTGAACTGCGAGTTTGATTAAAAGTGAAATCCAATAGGAGCAATAAAAGTAGACGCTACCAAATCATTTGTACCCAATTTGGCAAGATCTCAATAAAACCCGAACACAAACAAATCAAAATATTACGTTTGGCAGACCTCTAGTAGATCTTATAGACGTCATAGCGAGCGCATGACGCTGACATAAAGTACAAAAAAAGTAGATATACTAGACATCATGACATGGGCTAATCTCAAATATATACTCGAGATATCTGGCAGTAAACCTCAAATATGATAAGAGGAGGAAGAGAGTTTACAAATCTGGTCATTCCCATCTTTAATCATAAAGCAATTCTCAGGGTCACCGACTGTTTTTATTTGTGAAATATTAACATACTTATATCATTTCGTTTTCCACTCGCAATGCACTTGAATTTGACATTTTAAAAACTGGCTAAAAATACAAAATGGAAGGCGCAGCCCCGCCTCAGTTTGAGCGCATTTTATAGAGATTTTATTTTTGGTGAGGCCATGTCTAGACGAGTCTAAGCACCAGCTGATATCACCTAAAAGCTATGGCGACACACGCACACTCATGCGCATATAGCTATTATCAATGTAAACCAGACACACACATGATTTAGTAAGACGTTGTGTGAGTGTGTGTCTGCGATTGCGTATTGCACTAATTACATCTACTGCAAGTGTTGATGGAGTCTAGAGTATGCGACTAGCTAATACCCGGGCGAAACTAAACTAAATATGTTGACAGTAATTTCTGATGTGTAGGCTCTGATAAGCATTGACAAATCGATATTTATCGATTTATCGTTTTATGCTCATGGCAAAACTGAGAGACTCAGAGACATTTCTAGGTCAATTCAACTTGGCATGTTTCTTGCTTTCAATATAAATCTCTAAAGAAGACCTTGTAGCTCAATTTGCCGATCTATTTATTGATAAACTTATTTCATAGCGAGATGATATAAGTTAAGTAAAATTCATAAAAATGCATTAACTTAAATTTACATTTTTGTATTTGTAATGGCAAAATATTATTATTGATTATTTTGCTTTCGAACGCTCTTAAACTGTGCCGATTCCTTCACTCATTAATTATGCTGTCATTCACCAATCAGAATTCCACTTCCTTCCACGAATATGTCAAGACATGCCACACTTTTAATTAGTTCACTAAAACAGACGAGATCCCAGGCAGCCAGCCAGGTCAAGCCAAGGCCATTAAATAGACGACAGAATCCACAAACTAAAAATGTGATAATTGCGCTGTTTCGATCTTTCGGCTATATAAAAAGTATATTTCAAAATACACATACATTGATGTGTCTCTGTTTATATATAAATAAATTACATGGGAATGTAAGATGTAGATGTACGCAGTGAATATTTATAGATAGAGTGTACATGAGCCCATCACGTGTTGAGATTCGCTTCAGCATCGAACAGATTTCAAAAATGAAATCTGTAAATGTATTTAATGGATGTAAAGCTCTGCTACACATATTATATATATATTTATATATGTCTTATATATTTCTTTATATATTTATGATTTCGACTAATTATTGTGTCGCCCACGTTATATCTAATTTTGTGTGCTTTCTGCCAGCTCTGTGCAGTTTGCGTAAGTAAAACTGAGAGCAAGAGACATTAAAGACGGAACCACCTTGTGGTAATTATGGGTTCAAGACACAGCCAAGGCTGCATGTAAAGGTCGCCAGACTGACCATCGGACGCAATATTTGACAGGGTCATATTCATACATATCTCTGTTTAGCCGATCTAAGGATTGTTGAGCCACCTATGGGAAATGAGGGTATATATATATATATGAAATACCTGTCTTATCATTTTCTACACGTTGAAGTGCTTTCGTAAACCCTTTTTGGAAACTTGTTTCTTTTACACCATTTTGTGTAGTGCATATTAAGCAGTTATTTTATTGGGCCCGAACTCAAACCGGACCCATATGAATTTATTTTTTATTTTTGGGGTAATACGAACAGACATATGGATATGTAAATGAGTGCAGTCGAGAAGAGGAAGAAAACAAGAAAGGAATGTAAACCCGTTTACATGTCCAATGCTTCCTCAAGCCTCCTCAAGCTGGCCTATAAAGCGGCCTCAGCTGAAGCCAGCCCACAAATGCACGGAAAATGTGAAAAATTGGAAAATTTATAATCTATAAAATTTGATATGCGACAACGCCGTAGCCACAAATTCAGCAGTTGACACCGGCAACACGTAAAAAACGAGACATGCTATCGAAGCGGGCCCACACAGTAGAAGCGATCGAACGATCGAATCGATCGCCCGAGCTTCGAGTGAAAAAATGTTTTAAAAAAACCTGTTAAAGAAAATGCAGCAGGCGGTTAATGCACACGCCTTCGACGCGTGATCAGCGAGCGAGCGGCAAATGTTGGCAGCTCGAACAGCCGGCTGTTTGATATTGGCGTCAGACTAATAAACTCAGCTAACTAAGCAAATAGTCACAATTGTTAGCCAAAAGAAAGAGAAAGAGAGAGAGAAAGAATGACAGAGAGGCAAACAAACATATTCCTACCATATTACTCTGTTTGCTATTCATTAAAAAAGAAAAATGTTTAATAGCTTTTCAGCATATTGTGTGAAATGCACAATATTTGAAGTCGACGCAATTTGCTCTATTTAATATTTGCTCAATTACAAACCTTGATATAGCAAAACAAACGCCTAACAAATTGCTTGATAAATATTAATCTTATCGTGACAATAGACCTGCCTTTTTTATAATATATATAAACATATATCTTCCGTTTGTAAAAGTAGAAATCGAAGTCGACGGATACTCGCCCACTTAAGGGGTATTCGAAAAAGGGGCATGTCTTCATTACCTCCAAATACCGTGCAAATATTTTGCCTTTCAGCCATAAAGTAATATATTTTAATGCATCTGCTAGACACATTCAATAGTCTTGCTCCCGACCTGGCTAGGGCGTATATTATTTGTATGGAAACCAAAATAGCACAATATATGTACATCTATATATACTTATATATATAAACATATATATGTGTGTGTATATACACATATATATTGTGTGTGGGCCTACAAAATTGTGACGCAAAATTCCAAAATAAAAACATCACATTTCTCGCTATATTGTGCAGCGGAAAGAAATACAAATAATGCTGATAGACCCGAAACAAGCAGGTTTTTTATATACAAGGCTGGCACACAGAATACAAACTCAAATGTTTCTCTTTTTGTTAAAATAGGGAAAGAAACGAAATGTTTAAATGCCAATTTACTGGCAATGGGCGGTGACAGCTTCCGATTAGATTCGATTCCCTGCCAAGGCAGGTCACAATGTACCCAAAAAGTATCTCAATTGACTTTGTTTTTGTCAAATTGAAACATCGATTAACTAAAAATAAATAAACACAATCCAAAAAATGCAACGTCGCAGTTTCAATATGAAATCTAAAGACAATAAACTGAAGTGCATAAAAATAAAAATAAAAATAATAATCGTAAAAGACTGGGGGTCCGAAACACGAGAGCTGATAAGGACAGGTTCAAGGCTGACTCTCTCTCGTAAAATTAGTTCAACATTTGAGAAGAATGTCAAGCAAATAGCTGCAGCACAAGCAAACTTATTCACTTGTTCACTCTCTTTAATCGAATTCTCTATTTTTGCAGTCACTTGCGCAAAAAACATGTGATCTTTGCGGATGACGAGGGTTTGTCGCTAACGGAGGTGCGCGTCATGTCCGAGCCCTCGAACGTGCCACCATATTGGAGCATGAAGTTCTTGGAGCAGATCACACAGGGACTGGTCAGTCCGCATCCGCCAGATCAGTGGACCGTGGACTTCAAGCAGCCAGCATCTGACTATTTGACATTTAGGTAAAGCACAAGGCGATTGTCAATAAAACATAAAATTTACTTATTCAAACTTTGGCCAACAGACAAAAGATTGAACGGGACTTTGTCTCGCTGGAGAATGTCATTGTGAAGGATGAGGAATCGATTGTGGTGGGCACCATCAAGGTGAGGAACATTGATTTTACGAAGGAAGTCATTGTGCGCGTCACCTGGGACAACTGGAAGAGCCAACAGGACATATTTTGCACATTTGCCAGGGCTTACGGCCCTGCCACCTGCGCCCACGTTGTCTTCGATACATTCTCATTCAAGATCACGCTGCCCCCATCCTCCAAGCGTCTGGAGTTCTGCATTTGCTATCGCACAAATGAGAAGGAATTCTGGGACAACAATGATGTAAGTGCTTCAGTCCACACCATGATGATATTGATTCAAATTACATGTCTGTCTCTTAACAGGGTAAAAACTATACCATCAGCAAACGGTCGCCTTTCTACTACAATGCCCTGTCGCCCTATGATAAGGGTCAGAATCGGAGCTCCAGTCAGCAAATGCGTTCCACCTTAACCGATGCACTTGCCAAAGCCCAGCAGAAGAATAGTTGGAGCCAGGAGCCAAATACGCCATATTGGTAGAGCATATATGTATATATAGTTAAATTTAGTATGGAAGGTCAAGCTAATTGTATAGCTGAGCCGGTCTGTGACTGCATCGGGCACTGAGATCAATGTGATTCAGTTGCGAGTGGAATTTGATTTGTGTCTGAACCAAACACGCAAATTTCACCCTAGAAGTTGCCTCTGGGCATTACATTTTACAATTTTGAGTTGGATTTCATTCATCATTTATAATCGTACCACACGACACCCACGCCCACTCCCACAAGCCCTTTCTTAAGCCAGAATCTGGTAAGGTGCCATTGACTTGAGTTTTTCTCTACGTACAATCAAACAGAAACTACTTTTAATTTTAAGCACAAATGAGCAAAAAACGGAAAGAGAAGAGGAAGAAGCTCATTGAATTTCAAGATCCATATCCTTATAACCCATACACATATCCCCAAAATATTTTTGTAGTACGTTTGATTGTGTCACGATATCAATATCAATTTTTAATTTCCTGTACTTTATGTTTACCTGTATGCCTGTGTGATTGTCTACCATATAAACTGATATTAGCTTAAAAACATAACAGCTCAAGTAAAAATAAATTTAAAAAATACAAAAAAAAAATAGTGAAAAACGAGCTATAAATCAGAGCGTGAGTTATCCTAGCAAACCATTGTTTCGAAATTGTCTATATGCAAATAAAGAAACAGAAAAGCAACAAAACAAAAACAAAAGCATACAACTCTAAAACTCTAAAAGAATATATGCAAATTTAGTAATTAAGTTTTTGCATGGAAAAATTTATATGATTTTTTTGTTAATTATTATTTTGGTTATTTGAAACTCTAAGACTGAAATGGCTTGTTAAGGAAAACACGTCCTCATATACAAAATAAAATAATAGCGTAAACGAAATGCAAATCAAAATATGATTCGAAACATCACATATAATAAATGATCTGTGTCTCTAAATGTTTTTATGCGTGTCAACCCGACTTTGAATCTCAGCAATTAAGCAATTTGTACATAGACCGTATATACATATATATACATATGCGTATATACGATATATAGATATATCATGCACCAGAAAATTGCCTGTTAAATACATTTATACATTACCTACGCGTTTAGTTTTGTAAAAATATTTAGCTTTAGTGCTTAGAGGTTATTTAATTTTAAGTACCCAAACCCTTCCCGGCTTCTTAACAGCTGACGAGCAAACTAACTCTTTTAGAAAACTTAATGATTATTTAGTTTTTAACAGACGCCAACTACAACCCAATATATGTACGCAGTGAAATTATGATACATCGACCCAATATGTTACATAATTATTTTCATTGATTAAAGATAAATTATATAAAATATAAATCTAAGTTGTGTTTATTTAAAAGGTTTCGGAACCTATACTATTTCTAGACTTTGTCTGTCGCCGCTGATTCATTTCAATTTCATTGAAAATATATAATGAACAGCTGAAGTAGATTCGTTCAAGAAATGTCCTAATCAATTCCATACCAAAGTTCAGATATTTTTATAATCGCAATTGAATACTTAAGAACAAATACGACAATATTTGTTATATAAATTCATGTACAGCAAGAATAGCCGAATTCATATAGTCATTCCGACTGGTCGGTATCTGTCTCTCTATGCGTATTGATAAAGATGTGTATATTCATTTTGCTATACCACATAATACCTCTTGAAAAATGACCGGACATGAATACCTTCGAATTTTATAATAAATCTTTCAATATTTAAAGCCCCAAATGCCGCGTCTGTTGTAGTGCAAGAGTTGACATCTGAAGTATTTTTTAAATCTGATTTTTTATTTGTTTTATATTTTTGTTTATTTCAACTACAATAAATACTTTTTAAATAGATTAGAATTGAATAGACTAAATAAGTCCTATTACGTGGACTTTTAACAATTGCATTTAAGCTAAAACTGACATCGTTGCATCCAACGAAACATGTTAATGTATCAGCAACATTTTTTGTTAAGTTCATAGGTTATCTGAAATGTGAGTTGTTTAATATAGTGAACGAACTGCGTTTCGTTTATGCAACTCGTAACTGCAAAGCACGTAAACAAAGACGAAAACCATACTCAAATGTTTACTGTTTGATTTTTAATTTAGTTTATTCAGTGTCGGGGGAATTTTCTATGCGACAATTAAGCGTTGAATTATATTTATCTATTACATACCATATTCTGAGACCTGTAACTCAGTAATTATCATTGAAATGGAACAAAGAACACACAAATGGATATAAATGTTTTTATGATATGTACGTGTAATGGTGCACATATCAGAACTTATAAGGTAAATGCTGTATATTGGAATGCAAAGTTAGGTCATTTTGATAAATAATTAGTTTTCTTGGAATCATTGTGAAAATCTGTAGCTAGTATCATTGGAACGTGTAATAGCCTGAAGTCATATATACGTAAAACGCGAATAGAATGCACAGGTATGGTTATTTAAAGTTGTGTACGGTATGTTATCCTCGGCTCATTGGGGTTTGGATTGCCGTCAAGTTTTATACTATTGGGTTGATCTTGCATTTGAATTAGACTTAATTAAAATTTATAGCTTTTGCTTGCATTGTTTTCTTTAATTATGAGCTACCTATTTGCTCTTCTCCTTGGCCTTCAGGCTAGCGGGCATCTCTGGTGGTGGAGGACGAGGAATGCCCAAAGCCACCTTAACGCCATCATATATGAACCATTGCAAGGCAGTAAGTGTACCAATCATTATGATACGTGGTGTCAATCCGTTCCACATGCCCATGAAGCCAAGCGACTTCACAACGCTTCCAGCGCTCGCACCCTTGCTTTGATTCAGCTTGGACACGACTACATCAGCTGGATGCGAGACAACGGCGCAGAAGACACCAGCAATGTAACCAGCAGCAAAGGTAACTACCAATTGCTCGCCCTTTGAACAATCTGTACGGGGCTTGGGTACAACATACCTGTTGAATAAAATAAAAAGTGAGTACATTCAAAAATATATATAGATTGTCGTACTCACTTATACAGGAGCTCCACAGTACGTTCGAAGCAGGCAAACTTCATCATGGTATATGGAATTTGACGCATCCACAATGGCACCAAGCCCTTGTAAAAACCTGTGATGCCTTCCTCCTTTAGAATCTTTGGTACTGCCTCACGGAATGTGTTAGCAAATCCAGGAACTGTCTGAATCTTAACCTTGGCCGCTTCAAATGGACACAGTGCAATATCAGCAAATACCTCAGCAGATGCCGACGCAGCCAGATAGACATAGGTGCGATACAAATACGCATTTTCCTCGCCTAGAATATCGGCGTATTTGATTTTAAACAGCTCATAAAAGCCAAACTTGCAAAGACCCTAAGATAAATAGCAATGTATATTAACAATTTAAACATTACTTGAGTTATGCAAGCGCTAAGCCACTTACCTGCAGAGAGTAACCAATCAAGGTTGGGAACCAACCCTTAGCTAGACCTACAGCACCTTCCTCGGCTACTGTGACCTTGAAGCCATGGATTAGATTCTTATACTTGGCAGGATCTACCTGCAAACGGCACTTGACCAAATCCAATGGCACTACGAATGTGTGCGTGGTGCCGCAGCTCAAAATACCACCAATACCGCACAGAGCAAAATATTTGTTGCTGCCGAACTCACAGGAATCCGTTGATGCTGATGCTGCAGCCGCAATTTGTCGTCCAACGACGGGGCCAGATTGCTGACCTACGGCTGGTTGAACTGACAACTGACTGTTAACTTTTCCGTCATCGCAATGAGCCTGGCTGAATGGCGTCTTGAATGGCGAGTTCTTTGCGGTTTGAAAAAAAGACGAGAACATATTGCCTTCTTTTACTGTCTGCGATTGTGATCAAACTGCAAAAAATTACGAGAGTAGAAAATTAGAAACGGGTTTTATAATTAAATCTGCTTCTGCGCGATTAGCGAATTTTCACAGCGTTCGCTGTATACTTCTGAGTTACATAATGTGTCATGCACTTTTAAATATCATCGGTTACTCGTTGGGAACAATAAGCTTACATTTTTTCAATTCAACGAAAACTAAAATTTTTAACACAAATTTCCTATTTAATGGAGCATGTGATTTATTTCTCTTACGCAATTCAAAATTACATTTTAGTTTTACACTTACGTAGTGGCCGTCCGTGGCGTGGCGAGGAATTCGATTCAAAGAATGAGTTGCAGTGTGACCGCAAACTGCAATCGCAAATATACCGAAAGGTCGCCAAGAAAAATACCAAGCCGACGCCTTACATTAGGAAAAAGGGCCAAAGGCCAGCAGCATAGTTAAACTGTAGGTCAGTGACATATAATAAAAGATGGGGCAGTCCTCGAAAGATACATTGGTCACTTAAAAGTGAAAAGGGGGAATCATGTTTAAATTCCAGATAATGTGTGAATCTTGTGTGTTAATACAACTAGAATTAATAATTAATCGGGGCATGCACAGGCGGTGTTCTAAGCCCATTTATTCAAAATTACATTCTTTTTGATATCATAAAACTATAAGAGATTTTGAGGGTTGAAGCGCGCAACATAGAATCCAAGAAATGGATATTTGCATAAAATCATGTTCACGACTATGGCGCAAAAATTTTTATGACAGTGCTCATCCTAAAACCAAATTATTACCTGTGACGAGTGGTGGAACTTGTTCATTGCATTCAAAAACGATCGGTATCGTTACCGAAAAAATACTAGATTCATTACGGCCGGTCAAAGCATATTAATGTTAACATACCTGTTTCACTGCTAAAAAATAACGCATAATTTAAAAGTTTTTGTTATACTTAATTATATTCGAAAATGTTGGGTTATATTTTAATATTTAATAGTTCTATATTATTGAATATGTAGGTAATACGTTAAAAAAGGTATAAGAAGAAGGCTAATTAAAATGCTTTCTTGAGGAACACATGGATCTCCACAGACAGCGAATAATAAGCTTTATTAATATTATTATGAAAATTATGCGTTATAAAGTTAATTTATATACATACATATATATGTATGTATAGTAGATATGGATATTTATTTGATTTTAAAAAGTATGCAACAGAAACGGATGAGAGCTTCGCTAACAGTGAGCAGCAAAAGCTGTCATACAACAACGCTGTTCATTAGCAGTTGACTCGCTGCTTCTGTTAACAGGTGGTTTGGCTTCGTGAATTTTAACAGGCCGATGAGATAAAACAGTTTATTTGATTAAGCAGACATTTTAATTGTGCGTCTAACACGTCGCCAAACAAACGCTAACATCAAATATAAAGATGATGTCAGTACTTGAACAAATGATGGACATCATTTACTATGAGGGACAGCCCGCGAGCCGCTCCTGAACAATTGCTTGTTGCTTCAAATATTGCCGCCTGTTGTCTTTGTCGTCATCTTTGTCGTCGTTGTTTGGTTGTCGGCGTGCGAAACGCCGAACGGTCATTCAGTAGCCGTTAGAACGCGTCGCAGTGCGGCAGGAAGTTGAATATACGACGCGTTGCCTCGTCACCAAAGTTAAATTCAAATAACTTTGAAGTGTGCTTGCCAGAGCGAAGCGCGCCTTTTTGAAGTTTGCCTTTCTGTGGCTCGCAAGGTGTTAATTGGTTCAAATTGAATTTATTTCAAAGAATTTTGAAATAATGTCGACTGTGCACGCAGGATTTCTGCCGAATGTTGTGAGCGCGTTATCCAATTGAAATTCAAATTCTCTGTATGATTAAACAAATTAATTTGATTAGTGAAGTTTTGACAAATTGAATTCTGCCCAGCTAAGCAGCTTGTCGAAAACTCAATTATTAAATAATACAAATGTGAAATAAATATACGAAAGTTAATAACAGAATGGAGTGAGTAATGTGAAGGATAGTAAAATCTGTGTAATAAATTTACAAATACTCATAACAAATAAAGTAATAATTATATGCAAAATATTATTTAATTAATTGAATTAAAAATGATAAAAGCATCTTACAATAGTGGAAATGATCAAAAAATAAATAGATATACTCATTAAACACATAACCTTAGTTATATAAAAATTGCTACTCAGAAGTATAGTAGCTGGAGATAATATGGATTTAAAGTATGTATTTTAGTTGTAATTTAAAAATTTATTAAATTTGCTTAAATAAAGCGAGCATTCTGTATTCTGTACTGTGTCTATTTCTGTATTCTGAGAACCTACGAATCCTCTGGCAAAATGCAAAGTTTGGTTAACCTAAAAACCATAAAAAGTAAACAATTTCAACACGGACTTGTAGATAAATTTGTTTGCCAAAAATTCTGGCGATAAAAAATATCAAATCAAAATCAAATAAAAACTTTGTTTGGCCAACCAGAGGAAAATCGAATCGAATCAAGCATGACCTATTACTGTCACGTCCGGTGGGAGCCAGGGAAGAGCTAACAACTTTTGGGTCACGTTTGACATTTGCCAAACAAAATGATGGAAACCAAACTCTACTAGCCAAGACTTGCACATCCGTAGACACGCAGGCCAGCTGGATATGTACAGCAAGCAGAGCAGCATTAGGGGCTCGCGGCAATTAATTAAAAAGTTTTAACGCGCCCGAATCAAATCAACAATTTTCGCAGGTATTTCAGCGCCAATCAAATTCGAGTTGGAGTTCGAGTTCGCGCTTGGGATAAAGACTTAGTTGTCTCATTTAGTAGTAAACAGTAGCCCGTCGGATCGATGGATGGGCTCGAATGAAAATCAATGCGAATTACTGCAGCCTCGCTGCGCCCCAAAACCAACGACCAACCCGGCAAACTCGGCAGTAACGAAAATACATTCAATTTTTAAATACAATGCGCCGCGGGGGCTGGCGTTGCGGTGTCATGCGATGCTATGCGATGCGATGCGAATGCTATGTCGTCTGGCTGTGATTCACCACTTGTCCAGCTCTTGACCCCAAATCCAAGTCCAAAAATAGGCTCATCGCCATGCAAAGCGTCCAGCTCGTGATTATTTTTGAGCTACTCTAAAAGTCTGCTGCGTAAAATTTCCAAAATATTTGCGGAATTCATCTAATTATAATCAAACTAGCAAGGAACATTTTGCTTAGAGATATTTGTGGTAGAGTGTAGGATTGCTACATAATCATGTTACTCGCTGACCAAGTGTAAAGAGCATATTACCGTGAATGCAATGTGTGTCTGTCTGTTGAGCACAAGTCAATTCAACTTTATTAGTGATAACTGTAGGTTATGAGCAATTAAAAAATATATACCTTTAGCTATGATTACCACTAATCCGAATAAAACTTAACTGTTTTCGAACCTGGAACGGGTATTATGCAGTTGAGTAGTTTCTCTTGATGGAAAACTAATTGGAATGCCTGAGATTCTTTATATATGTAAATATTTATTTATTTATTTAAGTATTTTTATTTTTATATATTGCAGTACAGATTCCCTATATCATCTCGCTAACTAACCTAATCTTATATATATACATACTTCAATTGATTAGAAATAGAGTTTTTGTATGAAAACACAATTAATTATATATCCGTCTCGGCTTATATAGAAGTTTTATTGCTGCAGTTAGCAGTTTTTTGTTGCCTTTTGTGGATTGCTATTTAATTTGAGGTAACTAACTTGGCAAGAAACCTTTGCCATCAGACGTAACTAGGCGAAACTCAAAGAAAGACCCTAAATAGAAGGAAAAAACACAACAAAGGCCAAGTCTGCGGACACGCCTTTGGCTAATTGTCTACGTGTGTATATGTCAGAGAATGCATGTGTGTGTGTGTGTGTGTGTGTGTGGGTGTATGTGTGCGCGTGTCTGTGTGTGGCTGTATGTCATAATCAAGTGAATGCCCAACAATAATTTAACACGCAAGTCGTGTGTCCCGTGTCCTGTGTCCTGTTGCCGACTAATGGCTATGACTAGTAATCGGGACGACAAGAATTCAAATGCGACTGCTGCAGTTCTTAATTAGCCATTTGGCGCATTATGTCGGATGTAGGCATGTACTGGCATAAAGTAGAGCACCTGCGAGATTAGTTTGGCTCAAAGTGAGCTCTGGGGTTGGTCTACATAATCAACTGCCAAGAAAAGTATGCGAAATGAGAAACGAAGCCAGTCAAACTTTATTAAAGACTCGACTCAACTGACAGTTGAGTGTGACTGACTAGATGATACCCTGTAGTCTATGGAGGGTACATAGTTATTTTTTGTAAATATTTCATTGGTCTTAGCTAATATTAGTGGGACTTATATAAGGCTTGAGTTCAGAGACAAAAGGGCAAGATCTTCGCCTAAGAAAGAGCTAATATATTATGATATAATTTTCCACTGAATTCATGTTACTTACTCTTAAAGTTGTGTATATATAAATTATTATGTTATATATGACAATAGCAGACTTTACTATAACAAATTTATTCCGCTCATCGCGCAGATCTTGAATGAAATCGTATTGAGATTGATAAAGTTCTATTGGACCTTTAACCTACATGAAACTAATTCTTAAGTAGCTGCAAATGCTTAAGGCAATAAGTAGTTGGGGCGTCTTCAGCTGTATAAATCAATGTTTATGAATTTAGAAGTACTTTCTGTCGGTTGACAAGTGCATGACAAAGTGTCAGACACTAGTCGCAGACTCTGGGCAAATTATCCATCACTCGTGACACAGGGACACAATCACATTTTCTAACAGCCTTGACATTGACGTGTCTTGCGCGACGCCAATGAGCGAACGGGGCGGAGCAGAGGGGATTGAGATATGTTACTACATTACACTCGTGTCCGGGTGGGAGGCGCACACAGAGAACAGGCTGCTGTTGTTCCCATGATTGAATCAATAAGACGCATACCGA